ATCCACTGAGCCAAACTGGTTTCGGCTTGTTTCCCTTTTAAAAAATATTCCTAATTACATTTCAAAATATCTTCTAAACAAGAGTATTGAAATCATGTATTGACAATAAGAAAATTACAACATATTCTCTTAGAAGGGATGATCATTTTTCAATATCCCTGCATCTATTTGCATTCACTTTTAAAGTGTTTTTCATAACAAAGCGTTTTACAGGATATTTTATCTAATGGGTGTGAAGAACCTACTAACACTCTCAAGCATTTCCCCATACTTCAAAATGAGACTTTATAAATTCCAGAATAATAAAAGCGATAAAGACGAGAGTCGGAGGAAACAGTCCTTATGATATGTCTGAATCAAAAGATATGGAATTAAATAATACTTTCTCCAGTTATTTGATGACAGTCATGAGAAATAGTTCGATCTCAATTACTGATGTGCACTCTTGTGCCATATTCTCAATCATGTTACTTTAATCTCTCCTGGGTGACTACAGATCTACTCTAAATCCGATTGTGAATTTTAATGGAAGTGGAAATGAGAAAGAAATTCTCTTATGTGTCTCTGCCACCTGTACCTTTCAGGTCTGATTTTTCCTCGATGCATGTCAGCTTGGACATTCCAGGGCTGCTTTTCTTACAGCGTAGAAAGTTGGTGTGGGTCACTGCCAAGGAGAAAAAAAGTTCGTTTCCTCTCCCTATATAATCACTTAATTTGGGAAATGGGAGCTGGCTGCTCTAACCTTTCTCTTATCCTAATAGTTAGGGCCCTCACATTCTCTTTTTTCCCTTTTGCAGTTCCTCTGTTGTAGCTCCAAGTGAATTGGTTGAAATATATTGTTGAAATTAATATTTTTATTATCATACTAGAAGCCTGTTGCATGAATTCATGCATTGGGGTGGGGGGAGCTGTCCCTTAGCCCAGCTTGTGCCGTCTCGTAATATGGGACCTCTCGGGGGATGTCCGACTGCCAGTTTAGACCCTTCCTTCCCTGGCTGCCAGCTGCTGGCCAAGTCTTCCTTCGTTCCACGCCACCCTCTGGTGGTCAGCGCATGTCATAGAGAGTGAGCGAACTCCAGGTCTCCCGGTCGAACTCCCAAGAGGACAATTTGCATATTAGGCATATATATATATGTGTGTGTGTGTGTGTATATATATGATTACATATATATATATAATCCATTTTGTGCTTTATTGGGAGTAGTTTTTCAAACCTTTAGTGCATGTGCTTTTAAGCATATTTTTCTGTTAGACTTGGTGTTAGAGCGGCAACTTTTGGTAAACACTGGGATATTTCTACAGTTTTATGAGCCTTTTTGTACATGATATGAGACAGGAGACCAATTTCATTTTAAAAATATGGATAATCAATGGTATCTACACCATTAATTGAATAAAACTATCCTTTTCCTATAACACTGCAATTGCCCCTTCTGTTTTATATAAAGAACTTACATATGCAGAGTCTGCAACTAAGCTTTCTATTCTTTTCTTTTGGTCTATTTGCCTTTATTTGCACTTATAATACTTTACTTATAATAACCTTATACAAGGCCTTGATATCAGAAATAACAGGTCTTCCAGCTATTCTTTTTAAAGCCAGGCTTTTAAAAGTCCATCGGAAAGTTGTTTTTTTGGTGGTTACTCTTTACTCATACAAGGCAGCCCTTTGCAATGCTATTCCAAAATGAGGGCTGATTTTACTGGTCACCAGCCTTCACATATGCAGATAAGGGTCTAAATTCTATCTTTCATTTCCCAACACAAGGCAGCAGCAGCAGCAAAGAATAGCAGATCTAGCATGTAGCTCTGAATGGTAAATCCAAGACCCTGAAGACATTATAGGATGATATGTTGAGGAAAGTAAAGATAACAAAATGTTTGGCGCAACTTCATAAAATTTGTTTAGGGAAATCATTCAAGGAGAACTCTACTTTTGCGAACCACTTACCCAAGCAATTTGCAATAAAGCAGGCACCAAGAAGTGAGATGAACACAATAGCAATGACCCAAGTGAAGTGCTGGCCTCCCTCTGCCAGGACAAAAAGAAAGATACATAGGTTACCACCCCCTCTTCAGCCCCAAGAGCTAAGGAAACCAATTCTATCAAGGAACAAGCTAAATGAGATCATCCAAAAATATTTTAGATGTGGAGAAGGGCTTAAAGATTTTCCCTGAATAAGTCAATTTCAGAGTTTATAAATAAATAAATAAGTAAATAAGTAAATAAATAAAATGTAAGCTTTTTTTTTTTAATAGGAAAGGCTTATTATAAGGAAGACACAAAATTCAAAAATTGTAAAACATTGATAATTTAGGTACATAAAAATTAAAACTTCTGCCTGACTGGACTGACTCAGTTGGTAGGAACATTGTCCTGTACACTGAAAGGTTTCAGGTTTGATTCCCTGGTTAGGGTATGTACAGAAGGCAACCAGTCGATGTTTCTCTCTCACATCAATGTCTCTCTCTCTCTTTTTCTCTTTCTCTCTCTATCTCTCTCTCTCTCTCTCTCTCACTGTCTCCCTTCCTCTCTCTAAGCATGGTCTTGGGTGAGGATTATGAATAAAAAATTAAAATAAAAAAATAAAGCTATGATATCTTTAAAACATTAAAATTTCTATATAACAATATTAAAACCAAAGGAATACCTGGAAAAAATTATGTCACAATGTTAATATCCAGACTGTATAAAGAATTTTTTAAATTAATTAGAAAACAACAAAAATTTGATGAAAATTTAATTTGTTGAAATTATAAATGGCATTAAACAAATAAAAATATGCTCAATCAGAGAAATGTAAACTAAATATCATGCTATGATTTTTTCACATATCAGAGTTTTAAAAGTAAATTAAAAATATAACATCTTAGGTAAGAAAATAAATGCTACTGGTGAACTATAAATTAGAAAGCCATTTAGACAGATTGTTAGCAACATTTATCAAATTTTAAATGCATTATATTTGCCACAAAAATTTCATTTTTATTTTTAATTTCATTTTTAAATTATAGTTTATATTCAGTATTATTTTGTAGTAGCTTCAGGTATACAGCATAGTGGTTAGATAATCATATACTTTACAAGTTTCATTTTTAGAGATTTGTCCTATAGAAATAACTAAATTTATTTCTATTAAAGGATATTCATTGGAATAATTTGGAAATACAGAAAACACTGAAACCTAATACTTATATATGTATTGTCCATCTCGTTTTTCTTTTATACTTTATATACTTTAACACCCCTCTTGGCCCAATTTATGTTTTACAAAGAAGTTTCTGTTTCCCAGTGTATTAGAATCTATTTATAACCTTTTTCTTCATCAAAGTCATTCTCATTGTTTTCCACCTTCTCCTCCCCATATCATCATTTTCAATCTTCACAACTACAACTATCAATTTTATTTTAAAATCTTAGTCATAATTTTATCTGCCTCTTTAAAATTGAAGAGAAGTACTCACGTTTATTTTGAGATCCTTCTTGCCCCATTGTGTGTTAACTCCCTTGCTGTCCAGTGTTTGGGAAAAACAGATGCCTCTTATATTTTTTCCAGGGTATATTTCTGTGGATAATATAATATATTCAGAAACAGTTGAGATTAAACATCAGTCTTACTATTCCGGTGAGACTCTAAAGCTCTCAATATAAAAGACTCGACTCAAAAGAAGAAGTCTTTCTAAAGATGAGTTTCCTTTGATTCACTCTGAGAGATGGAGCAAAGAAAAAAGGAAATTGAGAAAGCAACATCCAAAAACAGTTAGTAGAAATTTCCATAAGTATCTCGAGATCAGTAATTATGTATTGTGTGGAATTATTCAATTTATTTTTATTTATCTAAACATAAAAATTAGCAGTACCATAACAGAATAATCATCATGCCTAATAAAAATTGAATGCATCTGAAAGACTTGGAACAGTTGCTGCTGCTGCTAAGGTTCCAGTATAGGTGTAAGAAAAAAGGTGCTTGCACTTTCTGTCCTGTCCCCGCAGCCAACCTTGAATGCGGGGATACAGTAGAAAAACATGGAGCTATTACAACTCAAAAATTGCCTTGTAAACAGTCAAAAAGCCTGTTTTATTCCAAAGAAGAATCTAAAATACAAGTTTACAAGTGAAAAAATATTAATGAACATGCTCTCATTTTTCTGTTTTTCTGGATTTTATATTTTCAAGGCAGTTACATGCTTGAGGTAAGCTCTGCTCCAAAAGTCCTCTGTAGTTAGTACGTTGTGGCCAAATGGTAAAAAACAATGTGACCAATGATCAAAAGCTTTTAATGCATACAGTGTATTTACATTGTATGTAGAGACACAAAAACCTTTGTTTTGGTGTTGAGAAAGAGGTGTGGAGTTATTGATTAAATTCCGAAATTTTCATAGGTGAGAGAAAATAGTATTGTTACTGCAAAGGAAATGAAAGTGTGACATCCTGTGATAAAGTCACCATCAGGGTCCCTGACTTCATCTACTGTACTCTCATGCACCGAATGTTTTTGTCTTCCCATCACTGTGCTAGCACCCTGATCTCAGATTTCCCAACTTCCAGAATTGTGAGAAATAAATGTCTATTGTTATATAACACCTGGTTGCAAAAAAAAAAAAAAGTACAGACTAAAATAGCCCGGCCAGCGTGGCTCAGTGGTTGAGCACATGGAACATTCTCTAGGATAGGTTATGTTAGGCCACAAAACAAGTCATAATAAATGTAATAAGATTGAAATCATATCAAGCATCTTTTCTAATGACAATGGTATGAAACTACAAATCAATAATAAGAAAAACTGAAAATGCACAAACATGTGGAGCTTAAACAGTGTGGTACTGAAAAATCAATGAGTCAAAGATGAAATCAAAAGAGAAATCCAAAAAAATCTTAAGACAAATAAAAATGGGAATACAACATACAAATATATGTGGGATACAGCTAAAGCAGTTCTAAAAGGAAACTTCTTAGCTGTAAATGACTACATGATAAAAAAAAAATAATTCTTTGAAGTAAAAACAAAATTTTTAGAAATTCAAACATGCATTTAAAAAGTGGCATGTAAATCAAATCAAGTTACTAAATCCATTAAGATTTTGACCAGACAACCCTTTCAGATAATCAAACTAACTTGTAGTAACCAAGCCCAGAAATGGAGATAAGTATATGGAATGTGAGCTTCAGAGGTTTGCTAGAGTGAAGAATCTTGGATATCTGTTATTGAAAATTTATAAATTTTTGAAAAATCTGTAGATAATTTAGAGCATCCCTTTCTATTAGGCTGTGCAATCTCTTCTACACCACTACTGGTTTTTGTCATTTTCACTTTGATGGCCTTTGTCGAAGACTGTCCCACAGTGTCTTACAAGTGAATTTTTGCTCTGAAGTGAAAGAAACAGTTCAGCCTCAAATCTTATTGTCCAAATTTAGCAAAGAAACTGTTCCTTTGCCCTCAGAGTTTTTGGATTCATGCAGATGATAGAACCTAAAAAAGGATATGTAGAAAATAAACATAACGGGGAACTACCTGATGAAAAACCAGAACTAGGAAGGAGATGGAAATAAAACTAATCATTCAGTTATAAAAATTTAGTGATAATCTACTATGATGCTATACCAGTGATGGCAAACCTATGGCACGCGTGTCAGAGGTGACACGCAAACTCATTTTTTTGGTTGATTTTTCTTTGTTAAATGGCATTTAAATATATAAAATAAATATCAAAAATATAAGCCTTTGTTTTACTATGGTTGCAAATCTCAAAAAATTTCTATATGTGACACGGCAACAAAGTTAAGTTAGGGTTTTTCAAAATGCTGACACGCCGAGCTCAGAAGGTTCGCCATCACTATGCTATACACTTTGTAGACTGTAGGGATACAGCAAGGAACATTGTCTTTCACTAATTCCACAATATACTTATTATTTTCCAGGGATTGGAAAAGGCAGTGGCGAAATAGGTAAAAGTCACCTATGCTAGCATGTCCTAGATGATGAGTAGAAGTTGTCTCCCATGTCTTCCTAATTAGATAAAAGAGGGTTTCTTTCAAATGTGACAGAGACTCGGCACTTTACAAGATTTTTGTTTCACTCTTTGTTCTAAGATACTTTTATAAAAAGTTAATGCATAAAAATGACAAACCAGTAGTCACACACTCAAAATATTTTAAAAGAGCAAACATCAAGAAAGGACCTTAATAATAGGAACAATCTCCTTGAGGAAAAAAAATAAACAACAACAACACACACACACTTGAATTAATGCATGGGACACATAGAAAAAAAGACATAATCTTAGACCATTCTTGGCCCAAAAAGGTCAGAATCGTGTAAAAGTTCATTGACTAAATTGAGCCTCTCTAGAATACATGGGCACTAAATCATGGATGTCATATATAATTAAGTGCTAACACTTTAACCAGGTAAACATAAAAGTGTGGCTGACAAAAGGTAGAAATCATTCTCATTTTAATAGAGATAGAACAAAAAGTAAATGAACAACCTCTAGCAAGGGAGATGTTTTACAGACAAGTGAGAATCACACCTTAATTGTGTTTTTCCTGTGGCTTAAAAATGTTTTTCACATATTCATTCAATTGTTCAATCATTTATTCATTCATGCTTGAATTCAACAGGTTTCACTCCAGACCCAGTGTGTCCTCAGTGTCCTAGTGCACCCGAGTGTCCCCTAGCAGAGGACACATAAAATATGAGTTATTCCCTTACGGAGCTCCATTTCCACATGATTCTTCTGGTTACTCAAGCAGGAGACTTCGAGTGAAGTATTATTAGATAACACCCAACCCACACTTCTAACTTAAACACCAGTGGGGGACAGCTCAGTAAGGTATCACTTACCTACAGCATGGGCCAAGAGCTTTTCATTCCTTTTTGACACCACAGTCACTCTTGTGAAGATCAGGTTTTTGTTCTAGGACCAGGATTGAAGGCAGTGGTGTCCAACATGGGATGTACAAGACAACTCATCAGGGGCACAGGAAGAAAATATTTTCATGTATTCTTATATTGTATCTTTTATTGGTGATATGTTTTACATAAGATGTATAATGTTAGTATTATATACATTAGTACACATGTGTACTTTATGAATCAATAAGTACACATATGTTATGTGCTTTAAAAATAACAAAAATAAGTGAACAAATATATTATTTATAGAGTTGCAAAAGAGCCAATAAATTAATAACCAAAGCAATACAATCAGGCCAACTCAGAAACTAAGCAAAGCTGAGTTTGTAAGAGGTTGACATTGGTCATTACAACTGGAAGAGGCTGAAGAAAAAAGTGGCTCACCAGTATGCTTTGTAGACTAATTCCTAACAAGGTAATCTGACAAGTTGTATCGGATTCATTATCCAGATCCCTTGTTGGATCTGTAGTATACCCCCCACTCTACCCTGACACCTCTTGGTAAAAAAAAAAAAAAAATTAATACAAGTAACCTAACCATACACCTTGGAGCATTATGAAAAATATACCTCTAAAGCAATAAATTAATATGTATTGGTATGCCAGGCACTGTTCTAAGCACTGAACATAAATTGCTTAATCCTCACAAATCGCAAATGACATATACAAGTCTTTTGAAAAGTTAAAAACTTGCCTGAGCTCCCACAGAGAATGCTAGACCTGGAATTCAGATCTAGGTAACATGGCACTCAAACCCATACTGTTGTTAACCACTACATTACAGTCCTCTGAGAAAAGGACATTTTATCAGGTAAAATGCCACTGATAAAACAAGCACTAGCTTGCAGATAAATTTAAAAACATAGGTTAACAGTAAAAAAAAAACACATCTAGTATAGAAATCATGACTATACTACACTAAAAAAAGAATTTATGCAAGAGGCAGAGAAAGGAAAGTTGTACACCAACTCCAGTGATGATGAAAGCAGCAAGCGCACAAGATGACACCACAGCAACACACCAATGACTCAACAGGGACCCACAGCTTCCTCTTTGGTGGAGCAAGTAAATAACACAAATCTGGGGAATATGCTTTTCTGAGAGCAGATAGGCCAGAGTAAATGAGAAACTAGAAGCCAGACTACAGTCAAAGACATTCAACAGAGAACTTTTTTCAAGTACTATAGACAGCATCCATACTTCCAGGCTACTGACTGGGTTTATATATAGAAGATGGAGTGCCCCTAAAGGGCCATGAAAATATTTGGAGGGAAAAAATGACTAAATTTTTTCCAAATTAGGTAAAAACCATAAACACACATATTAAATAAGTTTAATACACTCAAAACAGGATGAATATCTACATACACGCACACAATCAAGGTGTATCATACTAGTAATCAAGTTGCTTTAAAAAATAGTGAGAAAATCTTAAAAGCAGCCAAAGAAAGAAAATACATTATATACAGAGGAATATAGTAAAGAAAGATGATAGGCTTCTCAACAGAAATTGGCAGGTTTTATAAGGATGCACACAGATTTTTTCATTTGACTCAGCAATTTCACTTCTAAGAATTTACTCATGATAAATGAAAACATATGCTCAAAAAACATTGCATATAAACATTCATAGCAGATTTATGCATAGTAGGTGAACTCTGGAAGCAACCAAATGTCCATAAACAGATAAATTGTATTACATTCATACAGAGGAATACTACTCATCAATAAAAATGAACTTGTTAACAGCTGAACAACAGCAGAATGTTACCAGCAATCTCAGTACTTG